TTGACTACCACCCCATCGAGGAGATGGAGGCCCACCGATTCCTGAAGCGTGTACTAGCGAAACCTGACCAACTGCAAGCATATGTTCGACTGTGTGTATTTTGTAGTACTGCTGTTGGCTTGATCTTGATTTTTTATAGCACCGCTGCCGCTGTCGTTCTGCGCCTTTGTTATGGGTATGAAGTCAAGGAGGATGACGATCCTCTCGTTGACATTGCAAAACGCACTTTAGACCAACTCTCGCGGTACAGCATCACTGGTGAATTTATGGTCGACTTCCTTCCATTCTGTAAGAATATAACAATTCAATGTTTTTTCTCAATAGCCTGACCATATTCTAGTGGCAAAGATCCCAGAGTGGTTCCCTGGTGCTGGCTTCAAACGCCTAGCTCGTGAGTGCCGTAAGAACACCGAAGAAATGGCTGCTGCGCCCTACAAGTTTGTCAAAGATCAAGTGGTGACTAAGATTTGTAGTTTTCCCGCTATGTGCTATTGATTCAATTTCTACAGGCTGCTGGCATTGCCCCGCAGTCTTTTGCCTCAGATCTGTTAAAGGACCGTACGTTGACCCCGGAAGAGGATTATATTGTGAAGTGGTCTGCTGTGTCCCTATTCAGCGGTGGTGCTGACACGGTTCGTCCGTTCGCAACTATCATATTTATGGGTTAACGCTTGTTTTCTCAGACTGTTTCTGCGATCTACTCATTTTTCCTGGCTATGACACTTTTCCCTGATGTGCAGAAGAAGGCTCAGGCTGAAATTGATGCTGTCGTTGGCCCTGATCGTCTTCCCTCCTTCGCCGATCGTGCCTCCCTCCCCTACATCGAGGCACTTACTAAGGAGATCCTCCGCTGGAATATTGTCATATCTAGTGGTATGTGTATCTCGTTTGTCGCGGTCTTTAGCTGACCAACAGTGCTCGATGTCAGTTGATCGCAGCACCATGCAGGACGACATCCACGATGGATATTACATTCCAAAAGGCTCCTTGATAATCATTAACGTATGGTTGGTACTTTCCTTGTTATGCATCCGGTATATTGACGCTTTGGATCGTGACAGGTCCATGCTCAACGATCCGCAGACACATGCCAACCCCTCGGAATTCAATCCTGAGCGCTTTTTGGCCAAGGATGGAAAAGAGCCTGAGAGAGATCCTCGCACGGTGTGCTTCGGTTTTGGTAGACGGTAAGGATTGGATCGCTGCTATATTTTGAGTGAAATGCTAAGGTTCTGTTCCTTAGGCTTTGCCCAGGTATGCGCAGCTGACAGAAGGCGCTGACTAACAAGGCAGTTTTCTAACCTTGGTTGCTTCGACTGCACAGGTCTGCATCTCGCTGATGCATCCCTCTGGATATCCATCGCAATGTCACTTGCGGTGTTTAACATTTCCAAGGTTGTCGAGAATGGCGTTGAAATCACCCCTGAAGTTGACTACACATCCGGGATGATCAGGTATGTCGCGTGTCTTTATGTGACCACGGTGTTCTGAATAACACACCTTCAGCCACCCCAAGCCCTTCAAGTGCTCGATCGAGGCTCGCTCTGAAAAAGCCTTCGCGCTCATTCAACAGGATGCTGACTGAGTATTCCCAACGGTACCAGCGGTTGTCTCGTCCTGTTAAAGATAATTTGAGGACATATGACGCTCCAAAGCGTACTTTAATAAATTGCGCGATACAACATCCAGTGCGCGATACACAACACCCAGTGCGCGATACACAACATCCAGTGCGCGATACACAACATTGAGCGCGCGATACACAACATCAAGTGCTCAATACACCAGCTATTCTAGTGAACTAGACGGCCGAAATCTTCAAAGTTAGGCTCGACAATTAGGTACTTCACAAGATCATCAGCTGTACGAGTGATAAGTTTTCGCTCATGATCAAAAGCACTGCGAGCTTTCACAATATATAGCACAGCCTTCCAGCAGTCTAGATTGATTTCTCCGATGTCGAGTTTCTCGAAGCGTTCGACGGCATCCTTGTAAGGCTGGGGATTTCGTCCGTCCAGTAAAAATCTACCCATTCCGTTCCACCACAGCTGCTTCCAGTCGTCCTCGCATAACTTTTGCTTCGTGCAAGTTCCCGCGTGCACCATAGGTGGGGCTTCACATGCAATGATCCGGCGGTGTACATCAAGTCGTTCCTTGACTTTGAACATTGTGTTCCACACAACGGACCCAACAGCGCGAAATTCGTCGTCGGAGATATCATTGATGCGAGCTGAAACGAGTCGTTCGATAGCATGCGGCAGGATTTCTTTGACATTGTACTTCAATGCGAGTGAGATAAGTTGTGTTGGCTCAAGCGAGTAACGCTGCCGCTGGAGATGGTGAACAGCATAGACTCGCGCATCTTTGCAAAGATACATGTCGCTTAGCTCGAGCAGTTGAATGACAGCTTTGTTACATATTTTGAGGACATCAGGCCTCCATCTATATGGTATCAATTGTTAGACTTGTCCGAGTCGTCCATTGTCAAAATAAACTCACTTGTTGTAACAGACAGACAAAAATAATTCGAACGCACTTTCGCTTACTTGCGACGGCACACAAATAGGCTTGTCATCAGTACTACCATCAACCTGTTCAAGTTGGGTGCCTTGGCTTGCAGCAAACATGTCTCGGAAAGCAAGTGATTTATCCCCGAGAATGCTTGCATGCACCCTAAAGAGTGAGTTTCCTGCCTAATAGTGGTACACTGTCAGTCCGCGGTATCCACTATGAGACTATTCAGATAAGTGGTCATGGTGCACGAACCTGGAAGATGTGAGTGCCATCTAAGAAGTAGAACATTTGATGGTGTCGAGCCGTCATTGAACCACTGATAGTTGCAAGGTTGACTAGTATGAAGAACAGCTTGAAAGAGATGACTTGAGTGGTTGTTAGTAATAAAACCGGACACACTGGAAAACAATGCCTTGACCACGTCACCTGCGAATTACATATGCCCGCGGAACTCTTGGTGACAATTTTTATTACCCTTCCAACCTACACTGACTCGGACTCTTGGAAACAATGGACATAAACAGTCCTTCAATGCCATTGTCACTCCCGCTTCTCCCTGAAACCAGAAATTGGTCAGCAGAAATCCAAGCTGCCTATGAGAATATCCAACACACTTACGATCATGCAATCCGAGTTCTTCGAGCAGAGGGAGCCGACCCTACCCGTATTGCTTTCCATGTGGATGCTATCTCGTCAAATGCACTTCCGATCCTCGAAGCACTCACACCAGATGCCAGTAACACAGACTCCGAGTCGGATGAAATGTCAGAGTCTCTCCCAGTCAAATGGTTAGCTGATGTAGCCATGGTACTTGGCTGTGTAGTTTTGGGTCTGGAACACCTAGGGACTACTGCAAATGAGGAGTAAGCCTAAATTTTGATAGATATGTGGATACTGAGACAGGGATCTTACAGAGAGGAGCATCATGTTGATATACCAGAATTAACTGGAATCGAGAACACGGGAAAACGAGGGCGGCCCAAAAAAATAATAGACCTTGATTTCTTGATCGAGGCCACCTCTGCTCAACATCACATCAGACATGTTGAGCTAGCAAAGATTGTCGATGTTCATCCAGCAACATTACGGCGCTACATGCGTCAACACGGCATTGAAAGGTGCTATTCCAACCTTCGTGACCGTGACCTTGATGCTTTGGTGAAGATATTCAAATGTCATAGACCAGAGTCTGGGTTTCGGTACCTTGTTGGTTTTCTTCGACAACAAGGTGTCCGTGTACAACATAGGCGAATATGGCAATCCCTACAACGAGTGGACAGAATTGGATGCCAATTCAGACGCCAGCAAATTATTCGAAGAAGGACATATAAAGTTAAACGTTCCAATGCTCTTTGGCATTTGGATGGGCACCATAAGATGATTCAGTGGGGATTTGTTGTCCATGGATTTATTGATGGTTACTGCAGAACGGTATGTCACAAGTCCGAGTCGAAGTCATTAGAAATTAATTATGGCGTGTCCAGGTGGTTGCACTAGAAACGAGCACAAATAATCGTGCTACAACAGTTCTCGATTTATTTCTCAAAGCACAAGAAGAGTATGGTATGCCATCACGTATGCGAGGTGACTGTGGTGGTGAAAATATTGATGTTGCCACTTATATGGTCATGCGAAACGGCCCAAATCGTGGCTCGTTTATGTGGGGATCGTAAGCCTAGTATCATCATTTGATCCTTTGGGTGTTCTTCTCACACAAGTACCACAGGTCAACTCGGAATTCGAGGATTGAACGCCTCTGGGTTGAAGTAGGAACACAATTCGTGAGACGTTGGAGGGCTTTCTTTAGCCGTTTAGAAAGACTGCACAGGCTCGATATTGAGCAAACAGGTCATTTGTGGCTTCTCCAAAATCTATTCTTGGATGCTATCAATGACGACTGTAAGACCTTTCGTGAAGAATGGAACCTCCATCCAATTGCTGGCCCATCAACAAACAATAAGAGTCCACAAGTGAGATTTCACATCAAAAATTTGAACATAAAGTAACTGACACCATATTTATCACAGGATTTGCGACTGATAAGCCAGGCAACACTTGGTATTTACCGAGACAATTGTGACGAAGTTCATCCAGACACAATTGAACAATACTACGGCACTCACGGGCGAGAGCAGACTCGTCGTCATGGGCAGACTGGTGCTGGCCATCCTGATGATGAAGACACTAATTCGGAGGATCAGCTCATCTTACAGATAGAAGAAGACCAGGAACGGAATATTCGACATGCCGCTGTTGAAGTTCCCGGAAAGAAAAGCCCCTTCGAGACTCAGCGTGATGAAAACTTGTTTTTTTCAACAGTCGAGCAAATAGTTACTGAGGGCATTGTACCGGAAGGTTATGGCTTGCTCCCGGATGAGCAAGGTGATGATGCAGCCATGACCGAAGTCTTACAATTCGGAAGGCGCGGAACAAAATCAATTACCATCTCGTTAAGTGATCCTATCTGGGAAGCTCGTGCAACACTTTGGTGTCAAGGGTTATCAGCATTATCTTTGTTTGAAACAGAAGGATACTTGTAGTTACATCATTATATTGAATGAATAAGCTTAGAAATTGATGAGACTTGCGAGTCAATAACCAATGCTTATGCGAAATAAAAAATCTATGAGCCGTACTGATTTGTTCTCCCGAACCATCTTTACTTCATTCCATACACTGCTATGTCTGATCGCCGTGAAGTATACTGCCGAGACTTTCGTCAGGGAGGGCAAGCCTGCACCTGTGAATGCTTCACCCCACCCTCTAATCCTGATGCTCCATACTACTGTCGAGAATGCCAGCATGGCTTTAGCAAGCATCCCGAAGCTCTGGATCCTACAAGAGATGCACCTCGAAAGCAAGATGGCACAACATCTGGAAAAAGAGACTCGTCAGCATATTCAAGGAAAAGACCGGCTCGGGGTCTGCAGCAAGACCTTTGCCATCTGCTGCCTCTTCCAAAAGCATGCTCGATCAGAAGATACTAGGTGTCGAGCGAGCAAGAGATGAAGTCATGAATGGATATAGAACTGGTTTAAATTCACAGAGCAATAAGGTGCGCAGTACACAATGACCGATGTGCAGCACTTACAAGTCAGAGCAGTTGCAATTTCGTCGCGTTACTGGTAAAGCAAGGGCCACGAGCCAATTTGACTCTGAGGATAAAATTACCAAGGTTGCACAATGGCTTCTCTTGGTGAATTGTCTTGATGTAAATTCAGAATATATATCTCGTTCATTGCACAAGAAAAACTAACACAATATGTTGAAGGATGATGGTAACCTCATCAATACAAGCCCACCGTCACGGACACAGTTGCACAACATGGAACGTCGTCAATGTGCACATATCGAGACTGCTAGCAGGTTTTCCTTTAGCCGAATGTGGACTCACGACGAAGTCAATCAATACCTGCAGAATGAAGTGTTCCCTTTGGCACTTGGATATGTCAATTCGACAGAAAAGGGGAAAGGAATTGGCATACCTTCTTGCCCATGGGTTTTGATAAGCAAGGAGAGGCTCCGCTATGAGGTCGTAAATATTGAAAGGCCTGACGGCAATGATCTTGCATGATTCCGAGGCAGACCCAAGTGCCCTGTAAAAGATGCAAACATCATTATAGGTAAGAAGCCTCTGTCTTATATAATTTCTTGATGCTAACCTGAGTATCTTCAGCATTGCGGAGAAGAATTCCAGAACACGTCTATGCATCATGGGATCCCGAATATCGAGAGACGGGGGATGATGGAATGTTTCTCGACTCTGATGATGCTTCAAGTTTTGAGGCGGCGAAACCAACAATCTTAACACGTGCAGGTAAGTTTATTAATTTCGACCACTTACTTCTTATTTGGTTCATATTTATCCAACTCTCTACTAGCTGCTGCGAAGCTCAAACGTGGGCGACGAACATCATTGTCCATCGAGATTCTCTCCGACACGGAATACAAACCAGTCATCAAAAAAATGAAAGGTGTGTGTTGTGTGACTAGCGAAATATACTCTCACTTATTCGTTATTCTAGTAGGCACTGCGGTGAAGCAGGAGCTTGAGGAGCCAGCGTCGGATCTCCGGGCATCGAGTATTATTAATGCGGCCTCACAGCCTACGAAACGTGTGTCCCTATTTTGATGTAAAGTTTCTCAACTCACTTTAAATTCAGTTTTTTTAGAAAGTTCTAATGCAGATATGGATGATCTCCCTGATGTTATTCGACAACTGTCTCTGGTACCACAGACCCCAAGCAAAAACACTGTCCCCTCCACTGGCTCTTTTTTCACCGGGTCACGTTTCGGCACTGCTGATTTACTTTCGACACAATTTCATTCACCCATTGTTCAACGCCGTCGTGTTGCCATGCCACCCGACTTCGTAGAGCCCCAAGCATCTGATATCATATTGCGTGGTATCCGCGACCCCGATAGTCCATCTGCCCCTCCTCGTATTAATCCCTGGTCAGAAGATTATTTTATTGGTGATGTCAATATTGCCCTCTAATCTCTCGTGTCCTCTCGCCGTCTACTCAGTATCTTTTCTAGTACCATAATGATCACTATGGAGTCCTTATTGCCTATACCTTGCTACTACCCTAACCAGCTCATCCATACTATATGCATTCCCTTACCAATAATACTCACATTAACCAACAGCCAGGCCTCAAAAAGATTCGAGGCTTTGCCGATGCTGGCAACCTTCAGTTTTTTTTTGCTTTCCGACTACTACTAGTTACTAGCGCTTATAGCAGACTTGCTTGTTGAAAAATTCATGATATTGACATGAAATACTATTGCAACGACTTCGAAGCTTCAAGCTTCAAGGCCCAACTAAGCTGCTTTTGTATCGCGCACTCGACGTATCGCGCACTGGATGTTGTGTATCGCGCACTGGGTGTTGTGTATCGCGCACTGGGTGTTGTATCGCGCAATTTATTAAAGTACACTTTGGAGCGTCATAAGGACAAACCAAATACACCAGGAGCGACAAGAAGATTGGTGTCGTTGCGTAATCTCGTAGTCGATAGGTAGCACTTATGCAGGATACTTGAGATTAAGGTTAAATTCTCGAGCAACAACAATGTGAATTGTCGTCTCGATAATTACTAACCAGTTAGCAATGCGATGCCCAGTGTCGGACCTCTGACAACGACAGGAAGGAACTCGTGTGATTGACGTTCAAGTCGTGTTCACCCGAAAGCCCACCATGACAATATCATGGCCTTGGCGATGCACGCTTGCAATCTTAGATTGGGATGCATCTTAACCGCATTTTCGCAGCTGTCCTCTTTCTGGTGGGTACAGTAGAGCCGACACTCAGCCCGCTGCATCGACCGCTTGATGATTCTAAACTGCCTCATGTCCAATAACTTTTATCGTAAGACAAGAAAAGTTCTTGAACACAAGGGCGAGTAAGTGAACATTAAGGGACGCTAAGAGACCCGGTGTTTTCCTGATAGGCTACATACAAGTCTAGTACTTCTAACCACGTTTGGTTTGTTTGGTGAGACGAGGATGCAATATAAAATCATGACTACCAATGACAGGAACATGTATGCAGACTAGGGTAGTATGTGACTAGACGGTACTCTCTTACATAGAGTATTATCCTCAAGGACATGAATTTGGATTTGAAAAAGGGGTAGTATGTACGAGGTGGAGCAGTAAGCTGAAAGAAAAAGAAAAATCTAAGATGCAGTGGAAATCACCGAAGAAAGAATGTGAAGACTGCGCCGATATGACAAGGAGGATTGATTGGAAGAGGCAACGAGGGAAGAAATAATTATCGACTGTGAGCGCAATGGGCACAGCTATCATATGGCCTGCAGGTCCTAGGATCCGAGGGAGCGGAAGCGGGATTGGTGTCAAGGGTTACGGGCAGGATGCAAAGATATGGCGCTGGGCACTACATCTGGGAAGCTTCTGGTTGCTCAACCGTACTACGTAGATAGTTGCATAAGTCCTCCACAGAAGATATCGCAGCGTCAAGTGCATCTTGAGCTACGCCATTCTCCTTCAAGGCTGCTTGTGTGGCAGAGCTCTGCAAATCGGCCAGAGCCAGCTGTACCTTTTTGGCAATATCTGCTGACCGCCGCGGCGCCCCCGGAACAATATTAGATCTTGTCACTTTCACGAGGGCCGGTATGCCATTGATGTAGTCATCATTCCCTACATTATGATATGCGTGCTGCCATGTGTTTTTGATGTGTGTGCTCCACAGGCGACCCTGGACAGGAACTGAGTCGGAGGGAAGATCTTTGCCTATGAGATAGAAGCGCCCGATGATTACAGTAAAGTAGAATCCGACATCCCTATCGTACATTTGAATTTCGTTGACCAGAGAAATGCACAGCTGAAGATGGTTGTGATCGGCCAGACGTTGACACCACTTATCGTTCTTTGTCATGGCAAACATGATGTGGATGTATTTGAGAGAGGCGTCCGAGTCGGCTCCATTCTGGGGAATTATGGTGGAAAGGGTGCGAGAAAGATCATCAATGAGTTCTGCGTTTATACCCTGCATCGAGGAACTGGTGATAGAAGCCAGTTCACCTCGAGCATCATGAACAGTCCTAAGCGCAGCATGCCGAACTCGAGAAGGTCTACCAGGTTCCATAGAACGTACAAGCGACTCGATGTAGGAACATCGCTTGGCAGGGCTCCCTAGTCCACACATCGCGCTCAGCGCAAGCAAAGCATCACCTGTTTCATCGGCTTTGTCGTACCCTACTTCATCCGCCAGATAATCAACGAGCCAGTCAAATTCTTCACAGTTGGGCTTACGCCCATCACTGTGAGACCAGCACAGATTACCAGACCAAATCAATTTTTCACTGTCTGGAAGTGAAAGGCAAAATTTCAGTCCGTGAACAACCATCGTCCTCAGGGCGGCACGTGCACTGGCCCGATGCTTCAGCTTCAGTCCATTCACGTCTTCCTCCGGTGGCGGTGTCTTGTTGTTAAGATGAGAGTAGGCATCACGGCAAGCCGTGAACGCATCGCGAATGAAACGACTTCGGGTTGGCTGAAATTCTTCATGCCAAAAAGGTTTGTTCACAAGAACTGTCTCGATTTTCACTGGCTGGGTGCACAAATGGGCCATGGCCTTGCCAAAGTTCACGTAGAGTTCTTCCGTGTCACGACATGCCTCGAAGTTATCACGTAGACGTTGAAAGGCTGATGATACATCAGTGTTTGGTGACCATTGCGTGTGAGGTACCATCGCAACCGCAGCCTGAACGGCTTCCTGGTCCGTCGATGTCTCTAGTATCCAGCATATAGGGGAGGATTTGTTGGAAACAGGAGACGATTTGTTAGGAATGGGAGACGATTTGTTAGGAACGGGAGACGATTCGACAGGAGTCTGAGTCGAGGTAGAGGAGATTGTCATTGCACGACAAAAAAATTCTCCAATAGCCCGAGCTAGCTCCGTCCCTGGTATCTGGACAGGGCTATCCTGCCACCACGCTAACAGGAAGATAGTGCCTATATAGAAGAGAGTGACAGAAGCTGTAGCGCAGACCATGAAGCCGAATGTCGGGAGGTGGTCGGACCATGTCTTGAGGCATAGTGAGACGCTGAAGAGTAGCAACGCAACCTGGAGGAGTCCAAGGAATGCCTGCAACCAAGCACGCAGCTGCAAATACTCTAGTCCATCCAATCTCATCTGTCTCCGCGTGCCGCTCTCTTCTAGAGACCCTCCTTGTTTCCGGGCTGCTTCATATGAATAAAGACATTGCTTTCCCACAACTGCCCCGAACGCAGCCAAGATGCTAAGCGCTAGGCTAATGTAGGCAAGGGTTTCTACCCAGATGATTAAAGAAGAATAGTGTGTAACTGAGGATAGATTGTTGATGTTATGTACGGCACTTGGCCCATCAACAGTGACTTGAATTAGTTGCACCAAGAGGGCATTGGTAGTAACTCCCGAATCAGGCTGCATTCCACCGATGAATGTAGAGATGACGGCTGACAGTAGACCAGCCTGATTCATTTGTTAGATTTGCATTGAGAAACATAGAAGCGAACGCACAAAAGTCAAGATAACACCTATATCACCATGTGCTCGTTGGAGGAAATCGTCGTCGTACTCATCCGCAACTTTCTTGTAAGTTGCCCAGAACTTTGATTTCATATCTTTGCTGTGTTCTTCTGCAATACTGGATGATCTAAGGAGACCGAGGATGTGCTGTAGGGTCTTTGACCTTGACATATAGTCAGACACCAAATGTACCATGATGATTGATTAACATTCACATATTTCCAAGAAGGTCGGCCTCGTTGGACAGGACAGGTTTCTCATTCTCGACATGAGGATTGGCCTTCCATCCCCTGTGTATCCATCAGTATGACGACCAACCCAGTCTAGCCTGCCACTTACTCGGTAGTCGGCAGATTAGTATCGACAGGTGTGAGACTGGATCGTGATGATGCGCTTTGCATGTTTTGCGCTGTAGTGGACAGAGATGGAAGAAGAGGACCTTGCAAAAAAGAGCATGCACTCAGGCATCTGAAAGTGGCGAGGCGTCCACTTTAAATGTTGATTCTCAGCGCTCAGCGCTGGTATCATTAAACCTTCTCTTGACGCTAGTACTCCAGATATCACGCATGCTGTTACTAGATTCGACAGCTTTCAGCGTCCCAATGCCAGTCTCTGCTCCAACTTTGAACTCGCAATTAGATATAGTGTGCGACTCACTCGACGATGTTCAACCATGTTCTGCACCCACGGGAACCTGGCATACGTATGAAGGCAGATGGTTGGGCATGAGGAGCCGGTCAACCCGGACATCAGATGCTACAGAACATAGGGCTGCAATGAGGCTGCAGGGATATTATGCGACACTCACTGCGTTTAGCCCTTCTGTTGAAGTAGGCCTGATTAGGCTAGGTGAAGTCACTAAACACATGGCCATCTAATCAACTTTAGGTCAGGTATGTGTCAGGCTGACCAGATGACTTACCGCGAGGCAAAAGCAAGCTCGTTGCTCGCTTCTCAACATCAGTGAACCGGTGAAGGTTTTAGAAGGAAATATATCACAACTGAAACTGAGTCAAGACTGTCTTCCGCTTCACTGTTACGCCAAAAGACAGCGGTGTCGTTGAACGAGGACCTTGAAAGAACTTGAAATGATGTCGAAGGCGCAGGTACTACATGTGAACTTGTTTACGTCACAGCAGCCCTGCAAAACCGCGGTTGGCACTCCATTCGCAAGAAGTCTTTATAGATTTGTGAGCCCAGCTCGTACAATTCGGTACTATCACGGTGAATGATTCAGTTGGAGTGGCGGCTCGGATAGATCGCCTTCTTCCATTCCATCAATCAACAAAAATAGCTCATGATATCAAAAGAGTGCAAGAGTTGTTGCTCAGGAAAGCCTTTAAGTTGTAGACTTGGTCGCTGAGTGCTTCGAGCGTACGGGGATTGTTTGTAGCTATCTGAAAATTGAAACGCTAGCGCTGAGTGCATGTGACCATATTGAACCGGCGTCTTTTGAGATCTCGAGTGAGGTCCGTAGTTATATAAGCCAAGCTGTTTTAGGTGTAAATCCGTTGGAAACCAACTTGAAAAGGGCGCCAGTGACAGTATCACCAATTAGTCTACGTAATGAGTACTGAGTGCCTCCTGGTCATGTCTTGTACAGGTATTGTTGATACGAACATCTTGGATGGTAATCCTTCTATATACTGTACAACCAATACTCATCCCCGCTCCATCAATCGATTGATGGTTCTAAATTGTCTCCCTTGCCAGTTTTTAACCAGTATTGTGAACCGTAGCACAAGAGAAGTTCGGATCCACGAGCCACTGCCTTGGCTTCAGATAATGCAATTAGTAGAACGACTCGGTAAACCATCTGGAAATCTTACTGGTGTAAAATCCGATGTGATGCTCCCCGTTGACAAGAAGAACTCGAGTGCATATCATTCAGCTGATGGGTATAAACAGGCTCCATGTCGAGACTCACCTTGTGCCATACAATTAGCCAGTTCCGCGTCGGAGCGGGGCGTCCCATCAGACTTAGGCAAGTCCGTTTCAGCGGGCGCGTGGTTTAGGAAACGAGTAGCATTTCCGACTGGCGCAGCATCAAGCATCTCGTCCCCATTGGCGTTTGAGAATTCAAAAAAATAATTGCGACCGCTATATTCGGTAACATGACTGCATGAAGTGAGGATGTTTCAAGTTCTGTCGGTGTTCAATAATGTGAAGGCGTACTGTAGAATCTCAACATGGTCACTCGTCAAAATGCCGCCGACATAATCTAAGCAGAAATATGAGCTGTTAGACTCCAATGTCCCAAGAAACGCATCACCTCCGATGTAATCGCCAGGCTTCATATCTTCCGTCGCGAAAGCTCCTAAGCCGTATTTAGCCCGCCTGATCTCGACCGCCTGACCAGTAGTGAGTATAATTCGTGGACGACGGGCGTCCTTACCTTGGTATCATTTCGCTGAAGCCTCGTATTTACGCATGGGTCGTCACTTGCACCTGATTAAAGTTCACTTGCACTGAGTCACGCGCGTAAACGTGTTAATATCGTAGTCTGACCTCTAAACTGGAATTCAGTCCACCTCACTGAATGTTTAAATGATGTACCCTACCTTGCATCGCATTTATTACATATCCCGGGCAAACATTCTCGAGCGTTTTTAACGCACGGGCAATTTGAAAAGCAGCGTTTGCACTCGCAACCGCGATATTGACGATTACCTGAAATCGTTTAGAACCTAACCCACATCACGAATTGAGTCATGACCATACGGACAATTTACACCACACCGGCAAGCCAGTTGACAGTGTCGTTTCTGACGGTAGCATTCACACCGTTCTTTTTCACAGGGACCCTTATGCTTGCAAGGCTCGAGGCTGCACCATGAAGTATCCCATGATTTACATCTGTTTGATCATACAAAGGAACTTACGGGACAAATTCTGCATGATCAGAATCTTCTTCTGCGATTGATTGCGAGTCAGAATCCATGGTCACCCAACAGAAACATTATTGGTGTACCAAAAATGAGACGAGGCTTTCGGCCCTTCTTCTTTGTTTTGTTGTTCTTTGTATGGCTTCCCATGTCGCCTGCAGGGTCATCATCATATAACATGTGATCAGGAAATATGTGAGATCGCTGAACAAAGACCTTAAGAGAAGTGAGATTGGCAGCGTATGGTACATGTGGACGTGTTTACTTCTCGGCAAGGCTTGAAGCAGAGATCCGCAAGCTGACAAGGAAATAAATCGGGTGATATTGATAAGATTGTTCTCAATGTCTCTAGGTCGGATTCATTCTCCCAATAGACTTTGTCCTAAGGACCACACGGATCAGGAATGAATGTTGTGGGGTGCTCAGCGACAGTGGCTACCATGTAAGATTCGTCTGTTAGACGGAAACATTCTTCACCGCAGGGCTCTCCTTCGCTGAGTCGCATGCTTTGATTTGACACCTTGGGCCTACCACCTCCGAATGGCCCGAACTGAGGATGCTCTAGCAGACCACGTGAATTGAATAGATTGAAAATTTACAGTGGAACTTACTATGGGTTGTGCACAGGGTTCGCAGACAATTAAGGTTTGGACAAAATGTCGCAAGAACAGATGACAACCTCTCACGGAGATTATCAGGTGCAGGCTCGCTGCACGCCCCCTCCATATCATCCTCAGTTCCACCAGGCCAGCGAAGGAAATCGCTGCATAAAACAATGAGAGCGTCCTCACGAGGACGTGAATCAAGCAAGCTGACCGCTGAAATCTTTGCCATAGAAGACCATCTTTGTACGATTCACGGAGTGGTTTGGGGAATATGCGCATCCGATCAATGTTCGTTATCGAGATATTCGAAGTGTTGTGTAGTCGGCGGACAGTTTCTATTTGGATCATTTCCGCTGGGGATGCAATCTCTAGTGGCGGTTTCAGCATGTTCAACTGATCGTGGCTTACAGTCTGGATCAAAGTCTTCTTCCCATGCGAAAGACTCAAAGTTGTCTAGGTGTTCCATGACAGGGAATTTCTCCTCATCGCCATACGGAATGAAGGCAGCTGCATTGTGTACTCTCAAGTTTTGAATGCTCTGATTGATTGGTGGACAAGACTCGTAAGAAGGGTGGGCCTCAAAAGCAGGATCGACCGAGATCTCCTCTATCTCTAATGGGTATGATATGCCTCGACCCTCGGCATCGAACTGGGTCACTACCAGCAAAGGTTGGTTTGGGTTCTCTGAGTCATTCCGCATCTCCGAATCTTGAAGGGTCCCGGAGTCAAGTAGCTGATCTATCGTCTTATTATATTTTTCCCTTTCTCCGGGATCCCGCCGGCCGGCCAAAGCGTGGATGATTTGTCGGCACTCCCTTGGTTCCCATTCGTAAAATTGTTTCCAGACTTCTTTGTAGATTCGCAAGCCCAGCTCGCGCAGTTCGGTATATGTGTATTCGGATGATTGAGAGTTGAGGTTGGATAGATCGCCCTCTTCCGTTCCATCGATCAACAGAGTCGACTCCATATCCAAAGAGTGCAAAAGTTTTGGTTTGGGGAGGTGTCAGAACTTGTGTCACTGTTACAGCCCTGCAGTGGATTTCGTCACGAACTTCATGATGTTTGTAGTTGTTTGAAATGTCAAGTAATAGCGCTGCCACCAAAGCACATTACGCCTCATTCCGCTACCATGGCAGAGAAGTCAAACGCCAATATGCTCTTCGCTAACTTCAACCAAGATTTCTCGTAAGTCTCAGACGTATAAAAAAGCGCTATCTCGAACCGCGTTTTAGATGCGTATCTGTTGGAACTCGGAAGGGGTACAGCATAACTAACTGTGATCCATTCGGGAGAGTCTACACGATGAGTGCGTCTTTGTCATGTTTTGTACTGGTGTTGTGGACACTGAAGTGGCAGGAATATCTTATGCTTAGATGATGGCGCACGTGGCATCGTTGAAATGCTCTTCTGCACTTCACTCATTGCGCTAGTCGGTGCCGCTGATCAACCCCAGTCTAGTCCACGAAAACTACAGATTGTCAATACAAAGGTGCATATTCCTTAAACTGTTGATGTAAATCGGAATGTCATCTCTTCACACTGACAGCGACAATCCATGATCTGCGAACTGCTGTTCCCGTCCTCCATCCTTTCCGTCAAACTGAACAGGAAAACCCTCGTCATTGTGTTGGAAGTCGAAATATATATTTATGATATATCCAACATGCGTCTTCTGCACATAATAGAGACTACACCCAACCCAGAAGGTGAGCGCGCTACCTACCGCTCACCAACAATCTACAGCTGAGCTGTGCCAGCAACATGTGCCCTCTCACCATCCGCTGACAATTCCTACCTTGCTTATCCTTCCCCTGTCCCTTCCCCTACAACTCAATCGCCTAGTCAGGCTTCCACGTCACAGGCTCCATCATCCAGTCACCAATCTGGCGACGTTCTCCTCTTCTCCACACGAACATTGACAGTTGCTAATGTAATCCAGGCGCACAAATCACCAATCTCTTTCCTTTCCATCAATTCAACTGGTACTATGCTTGCGACTGCATCCGACAAGGGCACTGTCATCCGGGTTTGGAGCATCCCTGGAGCAGAGAAATTGTACCAATTTCGTCGGGGGACACGCGAGGCACGAATATATTCGATTAACTTCAATGTGGTGTCATCTTTGCTTGCTGTCAGCTCGGCACATGACACGGTACACATCTTCAAACTTGGCCATCAAAAAGCTCCGTCGTCCTCGTCCAGTAAGAAGAATGATGCCCTGTCTAGCCCGCCGGAGTCCATTGACAGCAGGGAGGGGTCCGCAGGGATGGATGGAGGGTATGAAGCATTCGCAGACGAACGCAAGAAGAGCGGTGTTTCGTACGTTGATTGTATCCTTTCGCAGCCTAAAATTTATTTCTGATGTTGTCTAGCTTGAGTCTTCGTCGCAAGTCGTTGCAAATGACCAAGAGTCTGTCGCATTCAGTTGGGGGCTATCTCCCTAATACATTGACCGAGATGTGGGAACCATCTCGTGACTTTGCATTCCTGCGGCTGCCGACAAGTGGAGCAAGATGCATTGTTGCGCTCAGCGGGTATGATCAAATGCGTTTCTTTGCTCCTACCGTAGTTTTCTCATATTTAGTACAGAACACTACCACAGGTCATGGTCATCTCGTCTGAGGGCTATTTCTACTCGTACAACATTGATCTGGAGAACGGTGGTGAGTGTTCCCTAATGAAACAGTATAGGTGAGCTTTTCATGTGCATTTCATTGGCAGAGCTAACCCCAAGTAACAGCTTGCTCGACCCTGATTCGGCTGGTATGGAGTGATGTTTCTCTTCTGTTCTCTTCGCATGGATGGCTTGAAGTTTGAGTGTCGCCTTGTATAATGTACTCACAGCTTAGTTGAATGAGAAGTACTTACTATACAAGAACAGTTGTACTTTTCTATTCGACTTGTTTTGAAGTTAACACCTAGCAACGGCGGTATTCAATTTTGAATCAATAATTGACTCAGGTCAAATTCAGCGTTACACGTGTTTGTGCTTTTCTGGACCTGTGGCAGGCCGGAGTTCGTTACGACTGTGACCACGACCTCTCGGCGGAACCTATTTCTTGACTTCCACACATTGCGCTGGCGTTGTACCGGAAAATTATACCCTCACACTGTCACCGCAACTGTCTGGATCAAACTCATGGCTGTGGACAATTTCTCCTACAAGGACAGCATACGAGCTGCTTTGGCCTCGTGCATGCCATGCTTTAGTAGCATAGCGCCTGTCAATTCCAATGATAATACCCATAACGATGTCAGAACTCACAGGTCGCCGTCCAACGAACTCGAAGGGCTCTTGCGTGACACAAACACAGAAATAGAAACGCTCTCTCTGCACTCAAACATCGGTGCTGGTCGGAGAAAGCCTCGAAAGCGTCCTGCATTCTCTCTCACACTCTTTGGGTACACATTATTCGGCCGCCCACCGATTTACCTTTCGGACGATGAAGACGAACGAGGATGGAGGAGGAGAGCACTTGGCACTGCATCATCGTCCACGCTAGACTCGGATGCAGCACCACTGGATGCATCGACTATTGCTCGCATGTCGTCTCCAGACCGCGCGGAAGCCGAGCAACACAGACGTGATGAGGAAGCACAGCGGAAGGCAGAGAGGAAGGCACGGCGCAGGGAACGCAAGGAGCGAGAGCGCATGTCTACTTTGCTCTCACTCAATGGTAACTCTCTTGTAAAAGAGAGTGGTTTCGAGGGGTTCCAAGGGAGTGGGGAATCCGCAATACCCTCACTGCCAGCCAGTGAATTTGGGCCATTTGTACGGGGGCAAGAGGAATTGTCAGCCATAGGAGGAGAGGGAGAAGGCTCTGAGGACGTCGACGATGCTGACCTTGGCGGGGAGTTATACACCCGCAAGAAACGCCATTCTATTTGGAGTGGTTCGGGGTCAGATTCTCGCTCTCGGACGTCTGCTTCGGTCTCCAACGGAGATGCAAATTTACATTACAACCATCATCAGCCTGAGCTGGCACAAGCTGTCCCACCGTCATACCCGCAGACCGAGATGCAGCTGCCCAACTCAGCCAAAAAGTCAAAACACCGCACGTCGAAACGCTTCTCACCCCTCTCGTCTTCAACAGCATCACAGTCCACGGCACCTTATACTCCCGCACCGTCCATTTCTGTGTCTCCAGCCGTCGCTGCATTTCCTGTCCCCCATGAGCGCATGGGGCACGCCATTGAGGGAGGGGATGTACGGGGATTTCCAAGCGTTGGACTGTCGAGCGCAAGAGGGAAACCGAGAGAGATGGGTGTGTTCCTCGCTAGCCGAGAGGCTGCTCAGTCGTAATTGGGAATGTAAACAACAGTGTGCTTTATTTTTTGGTATGCACATCTACGTTTATCATGTATGGATACTTATATTGCTCTGTGGATGGGATTTGTGCTATGATATCAGTGTTTTTTTAGATGCTTTGAGCTTGCATCTTGGTCCGAGAGAACGCTTGACGAGTCGCTAAACAAGTTGCGAGAGCGTTATCTACCTTCGTGAAGGGAAAATTGGGTTTGTGCTATTTGTGCCAGTGGAGATCGCGCAAGAATCTGACCGATGCACGTGCTAAGAACACTTGACATATGTTAAGGACCGGAACTCAGTTTAATGGACCATCTTCTCTATCTCCATCTCGTAATCACTACCATACAGTGCCCAGCGCAGATCTCGAAACGACTAGCTCAGTTTTGACACGTTTTGGGGTTCGTGCCCAAAACCATAGGTGATCTGGGGCATAACCGCATACAGCGGTGAGGCAGTGACTTCTAAGGTGCGTTGCAATGTGACGATCACTGAAGGACGCAACTTGATTCCAAACTAATATGTACTGGTTAGGGCTATCTGTGCAATATGCCGACTCAGGGGTTCTGGATAAAGTTTCCAGCAGGCCCATTCGAAGCTCACCGCAATGAGCAAATCTTCGAAACTCAATGCGATGCTCAAGCGATGCTACAGCACGGTACATCACGGGTTTAGGGTCATGGTTTGCACTACATACACAGGATCGCAGAAAACCTGTAGTATATAACAAGGAGTGAAACCTCCTTCATCGACGTGACCATCATTCCCTTTCTTTCTTAGAACCTTCACCAGACTGCTCGCCTCAGTTCGACTGAAATGGGTAACTTCTTTGAAGACCTTGTGCACCAGGTGATGGATATCACCATGGAGGACAATGACCAAATGGCACTCAAGGTGAGGGGTAACGTTGCTAAAGTGGAAATTACACTGTCTCATGGAAAAATGTATTTTGAAAGGCAAAATTCCACAAGTTGAAGCGAGAGGTCATCGATGATGTCCGGGATATTTTTCCTCAGGGACAGATAACTGTACGAGGTTTTATCGGCTGGTGTTACATTTCTAACCTTCTGCTAGCCACCCACGCTGGGCATCAAAGGCCTTAGAGTCAGCCTTCCACCCAAAAACCCCAACGATAGGGGTGGCCCAGATCTCCCGGTTAGTGTTTCTTCTCGCTTTGTCACACCTGGCTCATGGTCCATGATAGGACTCTTCCACTAAGTCTGCGATTCCTGAGGTTATGCGCATATTCAATACATATGTGCAAAATGAACTGCCCACGTACCTCATTTACGTGCCAGACAAAAGACTTGTCGGCCGCAATGAAGTGAAGCAGATGTTCCGCAAAGAGGTCACCTTGATCACGGAGGAAGCTATCCACAGCCGTCTTGTCGATTTGAGGGAATCATGCCCTACAGCTGAGAGGGAGGACGCGATCAGAGATATCGTCAAGGATACTCTGAAATTCGCTGTTCTCTCGCACCGTTGGCTAGACACCGGCGAACCCACCTTCTCCGACATCTTGAAATCTTTTAAACCGTACGGTTATGAAAAACTCGTGAAGTTCTGCGAGAAAGCCAATGAGTTCGGGTGCCGATTGGCATGGTCCGATACATGCTGCATCAACAAGGACAGCAGCACCGAGCTCGAAGAGGCCATCCGGTCGATGTTTAAGTGGTATCGTGATGCTTATGTCTGCATCGCATACCTCGCTGATAGCACGTCGGTCGATGATCTCCACG